GTAGGGGTTGAGCGAGGGGGGGTGTTCGTCTGCAGGGCTGGAGAGCCACGGGGGTCGGTACGGAGGCAGGAGCTGTGGGGAGCGGTGAGTTTTTTTTGCAGGGGCGACGGGAAGCTCGCGCGCTGCAGGGGAGGGCAAGCCAATAATAATAATAATAAAAACAGGCGGAGTTGGAGACAAGAGTCGGGTGGGTGGGGGGAGAGTAAGGGAGAAGAGAGACGTGATGTACGGAGCATGCCGGGCGGCATTCTTTGCTCGTTCTGCGCCGAGGGAAACGATGCCTTCTTCCAGCCTCGGCGGGCTCTTTGTTGGCCTCTTCTTCGTGGAGTTGCAGAAGGAGGGCGGCAGGGGCGGGAGCGGGAGCGGCGCGTCTCCGGGGCCTGTTCCGCGAAGTCTCCTCGCTTCCTTTGTCCGGCGCTCCGGCTTGAGGGCAAGCCCTGTAGCCGCAACTCTCCTCCCACCGCCTCCGGCTGCAGTAAAGCCAGTCCGAGGCAGGCTCCACCGTGGGCGCAGAAGGCTTTCCAAAAGCAAAGGGGAAAAGAGGCACCTGGGGGCTTCCCTTGTTCCCTTAGGTTCCCCTCCCCCCCCGCAACGAAAGGCAGAGTTTTTGTTTTGTTTGTAAGGTGGGAGGGGAAGCAGGACTTGCTGGGAGGCTAGTAAACCCCTCCCCCCGCCCCATTTGGGGGAGTCTCTCTAGGAAAAGGCGGGAGTCCCACATTGGGTTTCTTCAACGCCAAGAGGTCTCCCCCCCCCTTTTCGTGATTTCCACTTCGAGCCCCTCACAGCAGCTTGAGGGGGAGGAAGAGTCCCTCAGAGCTTGCTAGCTGGGGTACCGGGCGAGGGGGAGGATCGCAAGACTCAGTAGCAGCGTCCCTTCCCCCCCTTCACCAAATCCATATACTGTACAGTACTGTGTACATATTTCTAGCTTGGTAACGCCGCTGAGCCCCGCCGGTGGAGCTTGAGGTGGAAGGGATGGGGAGGGTAGCCCTGCCAGGGCGAAGGCGGGGAACGGCCAGCCAGCCAGCTCCGGCCTGCTGCTGGGCAGAAACGTATTTAACTCCTGAGCCGATTAAGGAATCTGCATGCTTAGCCTGCTCTTGGTCTCTCTCTTCAGACAATAACATATCTGTTTGCCTTCTGCGCCAGCCTTGCTCTTGGCGGGCTACTGTATAGACGGCTTGAGAGAGAGCGAGTGAGAGCAAAAAGGAAAGAAAAGCGAAAACAAAACCCTTGAGGAGAAAACAACCCTGGCTGCTTCCTAGATGTCTGGGAGTGATAAAACCATCAGTGTCTCAGGGAAGTCAGCCAGGGAATTTGGGTGTCTAGAAGTGTCAGGGTGGCGCAAAGCTGAGTGAGTGGGCAAAGAATTATGTCCACCCACCCCCTGGCACATTGGGGGCGGGAAGGCTCAGCTGGGGTTTCATTTGGCAGCCCCTTGGTTCCCTGCGTCGCTCTCAGAGAATCCTAATGACCACAATTCTTTAAAAATGAGCAAACATTTGGCTTGTCTTATAACCGCACTTGGCACAATAAGGCCCCTTACTCCTCAGTTGACAAATCAAGTTTGAGGAGGTCTAGGGAAGCTGAAGGAAAATCTAGACTGCTCCCCCCCCCACCGTTCCCATAACTCTTCTATCTACAGGTTTCTGCTACTGTGGTGGTTGCACAGAGTTCCTGCCTAGAAAATAATTTGAAAGTAAGGCACACGAGATGACAGGAAAGTGGGTTGTTGTTGGTCTTGCCCAGTCTCCTCTGCCCAGCACTTCTCCAGGCCTTTCAGGCAGAGAGTCTTTCCCATCCTCTCAGCCTTTTAATTCTCCTGGCCCTGGGGAGGGGGCTGTGGTCCCTCCCCAGGAGCATGAATACATACTCCCTTCTCACTATATCATTTCTACCAGTGCTTGGGAGGCTGGGATTGGGGTGGGGTATTTGGCTTCGGTTCTACTGCTCTTTGTAGAATTCACTGGATGTTGCTCCACGGGGTGTCCAAGCCAGGAATGCTGTGACTGCTCATCTAACAGCCAAATAGTTTCATTTCTTTTGTTCCCCCAACCTGCGTATTGCCTCACTCCAGGTTTTTTTTTTTGGTTTTTTTACTGAAATCCATCCTGTAATGTGTCTTAAGTACAGTATTTGGTTATTGTTGCATTTATATCCTGTCATTCCTTTAGTGAGTTCAAGGCAGCAAATATGACTGTCCCTCTCCCCACCTCATCCTCTTAACAACCCTGTGAGGTAGGCCAGCCTGAGAAACTACGATGTGTCCACAGTTTCAATGTTTCATGGCTGAACAGGCTTTTGAGCCAAGGTCTCTCAGCCCAAGCCTTTATCTAACCACTTCTCTCATTATGCCAACACTGGCTTGGCTTTGCTTTGCTGTTTGTATAGTCTGTTGCTACCGAAGGGTTCCTGACACCCAGGGTTATTCCAAGATATTTTGCTTCCTAATCGGGAGAGCAAATAGCTACCACTCAACTCCAATCAGCATCATAGTGTCCGAGGCTATCCACGTTATTTTGGCACCTGAGACAAGACGCTGTACAACCGTAGAATTGGCCCCAAGTGGTATCAGTCTGGTGAGAGGCAACACCTCCCATGTTGTTTTACTTCTGCCTCTTGGCAAAGCTAGGGAACTAGTGGCCCTCTGGGCTCCGCTGGATTGTGATGCCCATCAGCACAGTCAGTGGTAAAAGAGGATGAGAAATGATGGAGGGTCACCAGTTCCCCAACCCCTGTTTTCTAGGGAGATATGAGTGACTTTGAACAGTGTGTGTTCTCTGAGAACTGTGGAAGGGGGAGTCAGTTCACTTACGTACATTAGTAAAGACCGGGTTTAAGCATTTACTCTTATAATTGGAAATATTAATAATAATCATGTGGTATCAAGTCAATTCTGATTTATGGGGACCCTTTTCAGGGTTTTCCAGGTAGTGAATACTCGGAAGTGGTCTGCCATTCCCTCCTCCTGAGTCACCCTGGGACTGCACAGCTTTGGCCAAGGCCACACAGGCTGCCTTTATTTCACAAGAGGCACAGTGGGGAATCAAACTTCCAACCTCGGGCTCTGGACCCAGACACCTAAAACAATATAGGAATTTATAAGAGCAGATGAATCCAGATATGTTCCCAACTCTCTATTCAGAAGCAAGCGCTTGAAGCAGAGTCAACCTGTCAAAAGAACCAATACAGGTTTAGGCATAAATCGAAGCTTATTGTGTCATGCTGTAGGGCTTATACAGAATAGATAACATCTTTATATAGTAACAATGGTATATGATTCTTGCTCTTATAATTCACACAATGGATTTATTTATTCTTCTATTGCATTTATGAAACTAGCTGGAGTTTTCCCATCTTTCCTACTCTGCACCATGTATTTTGTTCTGGAACAGATACCATGTATAGATATGTAGGACCATGGCATTTTAAGAAAATTCACTCAATGACTAGTCATTTCTTCTTGGTCAAGCTTACCTCATAGAATTAGGTAACCTATTTTGAGGTGTGTGTGGGGGGGAAATAAGTACTCTTGTGTTCATTGCTCTGAAGTCTTTGGAGGAAATTTGAGACACAAGGGTGATGTGTTGTTTCTTTTTCTTCTCAGGAAAAGGCTCCAGAAAAGAAACTCTTGTGCTGTTAATGACGTGTTCAAACCCTCCCTGCTCAAACCCGCATCCCTATGAGCTACTTAGGAAATGTATTGTGCAGTGAGAACATAGTAAATGTGGGGCAGAAGGGGCTGGGAGGACATAAAATTTGAGTGGACCTAAGCCTGTCTCCAAGGAGATAAAATGATGGCATAGTTGGAGGAGGCAGCAGCTCTGCGTCTCCCAGGTTCAAGGAGATTTGACAGGAGGTTGGGTCTTGCCGTGAAGATGGAGAAGCAGGCTCCCGCGGGCCCTACAGGAGGCTTAGAAGGGGCAGGGAAAAACAGTTTGGTCATCCAGCCTGCGATCGCGCAGGAGCTACCTTGCTGGGCAGTGCCATGCCAGGAGGGCATACCTTACCACCTGGAATCCCAATGGCAGGATTTCTTGAAGACCATGCAGTCCCCTCCCATGAGATGGGGAAACCCACATCTATCAGAGGTTGCATCCTGGGATGACCTGGTCACCTTCAAGAGGGTTTTGGGGGCTTGCCAGTGGCCTCGGGAAGACGCAGTGACCCGACTAATGCCAGCCCAGCAAGCGTTAAGCGCCCAGAATTCCAGAGACAAAATAGACTATGGGAAGGTCAAGGCCATCTTCCTGCAAGGAAACTCCGCTGGCACAGAGATACATCGGCAACGCTTCCGACAGTTCTGCTACCAGGAGGCTGAAGGGCCTCGCGAAGTTTGCAGCCGCCTGCGGGAACTCTGCCATTGCTGGCTGGAGCCTGAGAGTCGTACGAAAGAGCAGATCATAGAGCTGCTGATCCTAGAACAGTTCCTGACTATTCTGCCGGAAGAAATCCAAAGCCAGGTCAGGGAACGTAGCCCTGAGACCTGTGTCCAAGCCGTGGCCCTGGCTGAAGGCTTCATTCTGAGGCAGCAGGAAGGCGAGCGGCAGGAAGAACAGGTGAGAGTGACTTGTTTAGGGGGCAACGGGTGGGAATGGAAAGACTGCAGGAGAGCCTGGAACCTTGCTCTCTCTCTCTCACGGTGTGAAGTGTGACACTTCAGCTGGCATGTCATTATGCCTTTAGAATATTTTGGAAAAAAACACAGAGTCTCTGCTACATTACATGACAGTGTTAAGTTTACCACTGAGGATGAAGTAGCATAAAATAAAATAATCCCATACAGGTTAAAACCAACAGCAGTCTTGAAACAACCTCTTTCTTCTTGTTGTAGCTTTGCAGGGCAGCACGTGGCTTGTTCTCACAGAGTACACTCAAGCACAGAGTCAAAAACAAGAGGGCTGAAAGTGAATGAGGACAGGCTGCTGACCTGTAATGGAAGTTCTTGAATTCACACACATCGGTCTTCCTGCAAAGACCCTCCTTGGAAAATTCCAGAGCTGACTAGTTATTACTGTACTCCACTCCTTCAGCGCTCGTGCTTGCTCCTCCAGCCAAAGGGTTGCTCCTCAGTTGCCCTCCCATTTGTGCCACTGAGCTTTTTTCCTTCTCTAGCATGACAGACAGAGGGAAGGTTGGGTGAATTCACAGATGATTACTCAAAAGAACTACCGCTACACGTAAGCAACCTGTCCTCCTTTGCGGTCTCCGTATTTCATACCCACAAACTTACCAGCTGGTCGGAGGTCATGGCAGTAGCAAAGACAGCACAGCCAAACCAAGTATCTGATCTTTCTCTGACATCCAATCTGTAGTGTTTCAGAAGCATCAATGTTAGTGACTAGAGATGGAGGTATTTGTATATGAATACCCCTGCACAGGTGGAGATAACGAAGGTTTGGTCCCATGGGGCCGGATGGTCCACTCACCGATCTGCTGCTGCCACAGACTCCACAATCCCATCTGGAGCTCGCGATTGGTGAGTCACTCCTGGCAGGAGGCAGAATGACAAGCCTCTCTGCCAGGGATGGCTAATTCATCGTGAGCTCCGGAGTGATAGGACAGGATCGTGGAGCCCACAGCAGGGGACGGATCAGTGAGTGGACCATCCGGCCCCATGGGGCCAGACCTTTGTTATCTTCACCTGTGCGGGGCTATTCATATACGAATATCTCTATCTCTAGTAGTGACCACATTGCAGCTTTTCATATGTCTTGTATCTGGATACTTTTAAAGAAAGCTGTGGATGCTGTTACTGTCCTTTTTGAGTTAGTCTTCAAACTTTCTGGCAGAGGATGTTTTGCATGTTCATTTGAACTAGCCATTTTCAACTTTTTTTTTTTTTACCACATCCATAAACTAAGTATGAAAGAAATACAGGCTGAATCAGGTTTGTACAAACTGTATAACAAACCTTATAAGGTGGTCTATGAAGAATTGTTTTCCAGTCTGTCCCCACCCCCTTCAAATGGGCCAGGGCCTCCTAGGGGGCCATGTGGCCCCATTTGAGAATGGCTGGTTTGAACAATCCAGTAAGCCAGGCGTTGAGAGGACAGTGGAAAATTAATAAGCTCCTGCTAAATGTTAAACACTGAAAGATAAACATGTTGCTGTTAATTTTTAAACCAGGAAATTATTTAATTGATTGAGTAAATGTCATTAGTTTTTAAATTAAAGTGCTAGTTTTAAAATTAGCAGTGGATGGCATTCAAGTTGTTCCCACTGATTCTTGTAGTACATTTGTTCTTAGCTCCTACTACAGTGTTCTTGTTGCTTTGTGGGATCTGAATTTTGAATTGGACTTTGCCACTGTGGAGGAGTAAGGTAGGGAGTCTTGGGCAGCCTTGATACCTTCCTTTCAGGCAAAGCTTGACGTGTTCATGCTAAACACATGCAGCTGAAAGTGGCCAAAGAACCCCTGGGCCTTTGTGGTTCAGGGGTTCCAATCTTTCGGTTCCTGATGTTTGGGGACAATAGCCTCCTGAAGCTTTGCCCATGGGCTGTGCTGAGTTGGCCTTCTGGTAGTTGCCTAGAAACATGTGAAGGGCCAAGGTTAACAATAATTTGTACAGAGATAGCTCTTATAGGAAGGTGTGTAAGTACTTTCTTTCTGTAGAAAAGGAGTGTGGCCAGACATCACCGACATAACAATGATAATACACAAAATATATCACATTAAAAAAAACACTATTTTTAATTTTTTTAAAAACTAGGGATAAGGTAAGGAATACAAAGGTAGAGGGGGATATGGGGAAAAAGAGGGAGGAGGAGAACACAAAATGTACTGTCATCCAATCGGTTTGTTCATGTTGCGATATCAAGTTGACTTTTCACCTTTCTACAATTAGATTGCCCTCCAGGTTTCAACTTACAGTTACATCTTAGTTTAATTCTTTGTTATTCAAGCACTATCTGGTGATTCAAGCCATTTATATAATAAATCCGATCATTCAGTTGCCTTTTGTATTGGACAGTCTTTCAACACTACTGATAGAATATCTTTTTCTGCTGCTTCCTATATCTTCTCAATGAGTTTCTCTTGTTTCAGTATCTTCAATTTCTTCCAGTTCTTAGCATAAAGAATTCTGGCTGCAGTGACTATATATATAACTAGCTAGTTCTTTGTCTTATCTATATTATCTGGTATACTGCTCAGTAAAAACAATTCTGGGGTTAGTGGAACATTATAAAGCATTATTTTTTGTAACAGAGTATGTACTGCTATCCAATACTGCTTCGCTACTCTACAAGTCTACCACATCTGGTAAAAGCTTCACTCTTATGCTTCACACTTCCAACAAACATTATAACTAGCTAGTTCTTTGTCTTATCTATATTATCTGGTATACTGCTCAGTAAAAACAATTCTGGGGTTAGTGGAACATTATAAAGCATTATTTTTTGTAACAGAGTATGTACTGCTATCCAATACTGCTTCGCTACTCTACAAGTCTACCACATCTGGTAAAAGCTTCACTCTTATGCTTCACACTTCCAACAAACATTTGACACGTCTATATAAATCTTTGACAATTTTTTTCAGAGTCATATGCCACCTATAAAACGTCTTATATACGTTCTTCCAATTTTGTGAGCTTTATATTATTTTTCCATATTTTCAACCATTGATCAATATCAATATTATGTTCTATATTTTGTGCCCACCTAATCATACATTCTTTTATCATCTCATCTTGCATTTTAGTTTCAAGCAAATAATCATACATTTTCTTAATTACTTTATCATTTGAGCCCTGCAGAAGTTTATCAAATATTGTTTGTTCTGTGTAAAAGCCCTCTATTTTATCTTTTCTATACCTAGATTCCACATGTGCTCTGAACCACCAGTCTAGATATATGTTTTGCGTTTCTAACTCTTCTTTGGACCTTAACTCACAATCATTTTTAATAGATCTTGATATCTTAAAAGTTTCATCATTTCTGTCATGAGGTTAGGTTGTGTAAAGCTCTCTGTGGATGATACCCAGCCTGGTGTTTTTTGGTAAATCTGCTGGATGATCTTTTCCCAAGTCCCTAGTAGGGCTCTTCTTATCATATGCGAGTTGAAACTTTTCTGCTCTTCATCTTTTTTTTGTATCATAGAAAAGCATGCCAATCTAACTGTAAATCATGTCCTTCCAACTTGAGTAGTTTATCATTATCTAAAGTTATCTATTCCTTTATCCAGACTAATACACAGGCTCTATAATACAATGCCCAATCTGGGAGCTTAATCAACTGCATATAATTGTCTTTGAATAATGTACTAGTTTTCTTTGTGATTTGGATCCCTAAGTATCTGACTCTCTTCTCTTCTTAAAAGTTAGTCCTTTCTATTAATTTCTGTCGTTCTTCATCTCTCATATTTTTTACAGGTATTTTTGTTTTCTTTTGATTTATTTTCATTCCTGCCATATCACCAAAATTCATCAGCATCTCCATCAGGTCTTCGATTGAGTCCATTGGATCCTCCAATATAATAACTAGATCATCTGCAAAAGCTTGGAGCTTAAAAGTATGACCTCTTACTTTCAGTCCTTTTATTTCCTTTTATCTCTGATTTGCTTAGTTAATATTTCTAGAGCAAGAATGAATAGTAATGGAAAGAGTGGGCACCCCTATCTTGTACCTTTCTGTATTTCTTTTGTCAGCTTTCAATTGATTATAACTTTTGCCTTTTGCCGGGTATAGTTTGCTTTAATAAATTTCAAAAATCTTTCTTCAGCTTGCAGCACTTCCAATTGGTGTAGCATAAAATTCCAATTCAGATTATCAAAAGCTTTCTCTGTATCCAAGAATATCATAGCCATTTGCTTTTCCGGGTGAGCTTCATAGTATTCCAAAGTATTTAAGATTATCCTTATATTATTTTTCATCTGCCTTTTTGGAAGGAAGCCCAATTGGTCTTGATGTATTAAGATTCTTTTCCATCTAGTTGCCAACATGGTTGCATATATTTTGTAATCCACGTTTAGTAATGAGATTGGTCTGTAGTTTTTGATTTCTTTACCCTCCATGTTTTCCTTATGTATGAGAGAGATTATAAAACACTATTTCTAAAGCATTAGATAAACGTGTGCCTCTTCCTTCATTTGAAGAGAAAAATAGTGAATTTAACATTATGACATTCATTTTGACCTCTTCTTTCCAGTCTCAGGTTGAACAATGTAATTCACTATTGCTAAATGTGGTTGTGTTTTTCACTTTGAATAGCATTGAAAGAAGATTAAATAAACTGATGGGCCAAAACTCTGTTGAACAAAACTGTTTAGATAGGCCAGTCACACAGTCTGTTGTTCTTTCTTACTGTCTGTCATATTGCTATGCATGCGACTGGATACATATGTAGTTACTTTCCCAGTGCAGGATTCCAGTCACAGGGGATAGTAGCTACCAATGGCTACTAATAATTATAGTTATGGACGCCTTCCAGCACCAAAAGCTTCAGTAATGAATAAGAAAGTTGCTATTGAGCTCATGTTCTTTTTCCCTTAGCTTGCCATGGGATAAGTGGAATGTTGGACTAAATAAGCCTTTAGTTTACCCAACACAGCTGTCTTTATGTTCATAAGGCATGTTGCGAATGGAGTCTTTCTTATAAGGAAATTTTCAAAGGGGGTAGCCATGTTAGTGTGTTGCATTAAAAATAGCAGAGTCTTCTTGGTGAATTCAAAGACTTTACAAGTTCTACTTGGCATGACCATTCATGGACTTCAGATGTGGATGTATTTGAAGAAGAGGGCTACAGTTCTCAATGGGCAGTTCGTAAGGACTCTTTATCATAAATGGAACATATACCCTCTCCTGTCAAGTACACTTTATCATTGAGACTCCTCCTCATCTGGAATTTCATTATTATTTCAGGAGGCAGAGTCGTTCCAAGAGCTGGCTGTGGATTTTTCTGAAGCCCAGAGGGTTCCGTCGGATGTGAGGCAGAGACGGCTTGTTAGGGAAGCCGGGAAGTCAGGCAACAGCAAGACGTGTTCATTAGGTAAGAGTAAAATTACGACCATTCATTTGGAGAAGTAGCTGTGGTCTTGTCCCACCATGAACCACAAGTATCTGCTGCAATCTTTTCTGAACTGATTCTTGCAGTAGGTTGGCTCCCAGCAGCCAAGATGGTCTCAGAAATTGATGCTGAGACATCCTTCCTTTTCCCTGTGAGAATTATCCTACAGAGCTGTGGTTCCCAACCTTGAGTCCCCAGATGTTCTTGGACTACAAGTCCCAAAAAGCCTGGTCAGCAGAACTAGTGGTGAAGGCATCCAGGAGTTTTACTCCAATAACATCTGGGGATCACAGGTAGGGAACCACTGCAATAGAAGGTACTACACAATTCTGTCATTTCCATAAAGTTTTTCAGTATCTTCATGAACCCAGTGGACAAATTAGTATAGCTTGGCTATTGTAGCGTGCTGTACATTCATCTATCTTTGAACTGTTCTGAACTCCTGAGTCTTGCTGTTCTCTTCGTTTTATATGTGTATGTGGGTTTGTTTATTTTTCCTCTGTATTATCCTTATTCTTGTTTGGTTTATATATTACTGTAAGCCACTTCAAGGGTCTAGGTCCCCAAAGCAACTTCTACATCTAATTATGATAAAACAAATGATAAAAAAATATTTCAAGCATTTTTGTCAGTGTATGTGAACTCATCGTTCTTAAAATTGATGAGTTTAATACTTTGATTTATGGATGCTTCTCAGGTCCAGAACTTGAGATCCATGGTCCCATAGGTGACTGCATGCATTGCTGTATGGAGGCCTTACTGTTTTCTTGTCATAGTATCTTGGGCTAGAGTGGCTGTACTCCAGCCTGGAAACTTCCAGATGGGTTATACTACAACTCCCATGACCTCAAGCCATCTGATGCCATGGCTGAAGGAAAACTATATTGAAAGGACGCGGCACTCCCATTCTCATTCTGCTTTAGCCTGGAATAATGGTGTGATTTGCTTTCCTGAAGGTGCCAGTCTGGTGAGCAGGACTGAGAACCAGCATAAACAGGAGGAGCCCAGGAATGAGGAGGAGGCGACCGTGGCATCCCCAGTTCCTGAGGGAACACAAAGGAAAGAGAAATCTCACCTCTGCATTGAGTGTGGCAAAAGCTTCACACGACCCTCAGACCTGGCTAAACACCTGAATGTTCATACTGGAGAGAAACCATACCTGTGTGTTGAATGTGGGAAGAGCTTTAGCCAGCTCTCCCATCTTACAAGGCATCAGAAGATCCACTCAGGGGAGAAACCCCACATCTGCTCAGAATGTGGGGACACCTTCAGCCAGCGGGCGTATCTGGTCAGCCACCAAAGGAGCCATTCAGGAGAGCAGCCATACCGCTGCTCATACTGCCAGAAATGTTTTAGCCATCAGTCAGCCCTTAAGATACATGAGCGGAACCATATGGGCCAGAAACCTTATGCTTGCACTGACTGTGGGAAACGGTTTGTTTCTTCTTCCTCTCTGACTACCCACCGGAGGATCCATACAGGAGAAAAGCCTCATGCCTGTGGCGTTTGTGGGAAAAGATTCATCCAGCACTCCAATCTGGTCTCACACCAGAGAACTCACTCTGGGGAAAAGCCGTTCTCCTGCAAGGTGTGTGGCAGAAGGTTTGCCTACCCGTCAGACCTTACGAGACACCAAAAAATCCACACGGGAGAGAAGCCTTATCCTTGTGAAGAGTGTGAGAGGAGATTCACCAGGCTCTCCGACCTTATTACACACCAACGCATTCACACAGGAGAAAAACCCTATCACTGTCTTGAGTGTGGGAGAAGGTTCAGGCAGAGGGGAGTGCTAGTAAAACACCAGAAGTGCCACTCAAAAGAGAACCCCAAAGGAAGTGAGTCAACGCAGCCTCTGGAGTTGCAAGCAGACAAAGAACTGAACGTTCACAAGATAAAACAGGAGAAAGAAGAAGTGAAAAATCACACAGGGTCCAGCTCAATCCGTGCTTCCAGCCCCTGATGCCTGTCATGCCCACATGGCTGTGTAGACACAGGAAGGTATACATTTCCCTGTCTTCCTCTGGCGCTGACTGAAAACTGGTCACGAGAGTAGTAGACTGTTGCCATCTCCTGCCTGGGCTAAACATTGCAATGGTGGGGGAATTACAGGGCCTGACTGGTAAGCACAGGATAGCCAGGATACCTTTGGTGCTTTCCTCCATTCCACTGATGCACTTCTAGCCATTATTATGGTTTATGGAAGAAGCTAAGGTGGTTATAGTTTGCTCTGGATATAGCAACTGGAACAAAGCTTTTCTAAATAATGGGCCCATTCTGTGTTGGCTGAATGAAATGGGAATAGGATTGCTCTTCAAGAAGAATATCTCTCAGTCACCTTCAAAGAGGGAGTAGGGGAAAGAGGGAGAGAGAGAAAGAGAGAAGGAAGATGAATGCACCCACCTGTTATGCATTTATCCAAGGAGTGGTTGGGAGAATCTCTTGAACACCACGCAGTGTTGTTTGGGGAGATCGGGTGAGGGAGGGAATAGAACTCTTTTTATCAGGCAACATTCAGCTGGGGTTTAGAGAATATAGCCTGACCTGTCCAGGACCAGCAGGGCTACACCAGTCCATATGGAGCCACTACAGCGATAATGATAGAGGTTGGTAACCCTCCTTGCATCCCTCCACATGAGCGGTGATAGTGGATCCTTCCCTCCCTGTTTCGCAAATGACGTTCTCACAGGGAAGAGCCTATCTATCCAAATAAGATAATGGGCAGTCGGACACTGCCTTCTCATTCTTGTTCTAACCTCCTAGATCAACACATATATGGCTCCTTCATGATAGAGGAAATGGCCTTATACAGAGCTGAGCCACAGGTATTGTCCTAGTCAGACTGGCCGTGGATTTGTAGGTTCTCAGATGGGTGCCTTCTCAAACTTGCTATCTGAAATGCCGTAATGGGAGATGGCAGGGACATCACATATACGGCTCCTTCATGTTAGAGGGAATGGCCTTATACAGAGCTGAGCCACAGGTATTGTCCTAGTCAGACTGGCCGTGGATTTGTAGGTTCTCAGATGGGTGCCTTCTCAAACTTGCTATCTGAAATGCCGTAATGGGAGATGGCAGGGACAGGACGTGGGACTCAATATGCATGTGGGATAAATGGCCTCTGCCCTGGGATGTGGCTTCTGCACTTCGATAGGTAGAGTTCAGGCCTGAAATCTCTGTTTATAGAGTGTGTGATAAGCCAAAAAGCAGCCCCATTTCTAACCAAATGTTTTCTCGTCCACTTAGTCCACCAGAGGTTTGGCCAGTCAGCCCTAGGCAATAGAGAAAACTATGCCCCCACAGATCAGTGCTCATGAAAACAGAACGAAGAGAACTATCACTAGCAAATGGGGCCTTTGTGACCCTATTGTTTAAGATTGGGATATATTAGATTCCCATACGCAGGGAGAGGATGGAGAAACTAAAGAGTTCCTGGGCCTCGGTGTGCAGTGGCTGTACTGGTTCTATACTGTGCCTGCCTGTCTCATGTTGCCTCTTCTGCTTGTGGGGCATCTGGAGGTAATTGAAAGAAGTATTCAGGGCAGGCAGGTTAACACAGATTTGTCAAGAACAACTCCTGCCAGGCTACTGTATTTTTCTGTTTATAACATGCCCCCATTTATAAGATGCCCCCTGAGCTCAAAACGGCCAAATAAAGAAAACTTAGCTTTGAGGATTCTGCCTCTGAGCTCAAAACGTGGGACATTTTGTCTCTGTTGACTCTTGAGCCTACAGGCTCCACCTCCAAGGAGGTGTGTTCCAATTGGTTTGTTCAGGATCAGCTGACATCAGTTCCATAAGGCTCGTGATTGGAGGAAGCTAAGTCTCCTGACTATAGGAAGCTAAGCCTCGTGGCTGAAGGAAGCCTGTTTACAGAGGCAAGCTACGGGCTGTTTTGTTCTCTTCTCAGCTATCTCAGCTTACTTCTGTGTAAGGCACCCCTCAATTTTTAGGGTAATGATTTTAGGAAAAAGTAGTATCTTATAGATGAAAAAATACAGTAATCTGATCTCACTTTTTGATCAGGTAACCTCCCTGATAGACAGAGGGAATGCTGTAGGCGTCATATATCTTGACTTCAGCAAAGCTTCTGACAAAGTGCCCCATGATATTCTGATCAGTAAACTAACTAGGTATGGGCTAGACAGAACAACTGTTATGTGGATATACAGAATTGTACTCAGAGGGTGATGATTTAATGGCTCCTCATACTGGGAGGAGGTAACAAGTGGAGTACCCCAGGGCTCAGTCCTAGGCCCAATGCTCTTCAACATCTTTATTAATGACCTGGATCAGGGGATACAGGGAATGCTAATCAAATTTGCAGATGACACAAAATGGGGTGGGAAATAGCTATTACCCTGGAAGACAGGGAAAAAATTCAAAATGATCTAGATAGGTTTGAGCGCTGGGCTGAAAACAACAGAATGAAATTCAACAGGAAAAACTGCAAAGTACCGCACCTAGGAAAAAGAAAGCAAACACACAGTTACACGATGGGGGATACCTGGCTCAGCAATAGTACAGGTGAGAAGGATCTTGGAATCATCATAGATCACAAGCTGAATATGAGACAACAGTTTGATGTGGCTACAAAAAAAGCCAATACTATTTTAGGACGCATTAACAGACATAAAGTCTCCAAATCCCATGAAGTACTAAGGTAAAGGTAAACGTTCCCCTTGACATTTTTAGTCCAGTCATGTCTGACTCTAGGGGGCGGTGCTCATCCCGTTTTCAAGCCGTATAGCCAGTGCTTTTCCAAAGACAGTTTCCATTGACACGTGGCCAGCATGACTAGGGAACGCCGTTTTACCTTCCCACCAAGGTGGTCCCTATTTATCTACTCGCATTTGCATGCTTTCGAACCGCTAGGTTGGCGAGGAGCTGGGACAAGCGACAGGAGCTCACTCCGTCACATGGATTCGATCTTACGACTGCCGGTCTTCTGACCCTGCAGCAGAGGCTTCTGCGATTTAGCCCGCAGTGCCATCATGTCCCCGTACTAGTTCCTCTCTATTTAGCACTGATTAGGCTTCATCTTGAGTACTGCGTCCAGTTCTAGATATTGCATTTGAAGAAGGATGCTGACAAATTGGAATAAGTTCAGAGGAGGTCAACAAGGATAATCAGGGGACTGGAAACAAAGCCCTATGAGTATAGACTGAAAGAACTGGGCATGTTTAGCCTTGAGAAAAGAAGACTGAGTGGAGGTATGCTAGCACTTTTCAAATACTTGAAAAACTGTCATACAAAGGAGGGGCAGGATCTGTTCCCAATTATCCCAGAGTGCAGGACACACAATAATGGGCTCAGGTTACTAGAAGCCAAATTTCAGTTGAATATCAGGAAAAACTTCCCAGGAGCCGCTGGATTAAAGCCGTGGTCATTCCACCCTAGGTAAGGCTCTGGGAATGGACGGAGGTGTCCTGGAGCAGGGACAGCTAAACATGGCCTTTGCATAAATGGATCATAGCAAACATAGCCACATTTTGCTCCACTTCTATTTACTAATGTTGTTTGTATCAGGACACTTGTGGCTGTAAATGGGAACATCCCGTAATGAGGTGAGAGAACTGACTTGCTAAATTGCCTTGTCTTGTAGCCTGTCAGAAAAAAAATGCTGGCAATTCAATTTGTTAACTCTTCACAATTGTGGGGGTCAGGATTACTATTTGAATGAACTTATACCGAAGCAAAATGTGGACAACCAGGCATGGAGATAGTTGCTCTTAAGGGTGGGGCAGAATTAGGTTATGACTGGTATTTGTTCCAAAGCTGCAAGGTATTTCTTAGCTTGAGTTATTCCAAAATTGTAGTAAGGAACTGACAAAATGATGTAACAACTCTTGGACCTGTGTGTATTTCATAATTCTGCAGAAGTATAGAAGTGGCCATGTTGAAAAGTTTGTCTTTAGAAGTTAAATTAAATAAGTGTCGTTTTTCTTTTTCTTTTTCAATTTGCATTTATAACAGTGAAGGTAAGCTTGAAAGGAATGCAAGTGATGCTTCCCCAGCAAGGCACGTGCTTGCCTCTGGAGAGAGGTTTGGGTGCCCTTAATTAAGTAACTTCTTGCCCCTTCCATAACAAACACCAGCAGAATAATGGAAATGTGTGATAATTTATACAGAATTTACTTTCTGGGCCTAAAATGTGGGAATTTTCTAGGGGAGAGTACACACACCACCCTAAATTGAAAGAACTTAAATATGAAGCTCCAATGAGTTTAATAAAACAGATTCATACTACTATGAATTATTAGGCTGAACCATTAAATAAGCATATTTGGAAGCACAGGTGACAGTCATACACGTGTCTCACATTACACCTCTCTCCACTTCTCCTCTGACATCTTATGGCCATCCCTGTGATTTATTCAAGAGGTCTGGGATAAAGATAGAAGCCATCTTGCTGCAGTAGCTTCTACTTAGGTAAATTAAAATAGTTTTAAAATGTGAGTACAAGTTATTAATTAGGTTCTTTTCCCCCCACACCAACTGTTTCTGCCCAATCAGTACATTTTTACAGGTGCTTCATTCAGTATTAGGCAGTGTCATGCCATCTAACAATTCAGGAGTAGCAATCTACCCAGTTCTTCCCAAGGGTCCTCCTGAGCAGCGACATCATGGAATAGCAGAGTGGCGCTGCACAGGACCTAAGTTGGGTAGGACGTCAGATGGTAAAGGGGGTGGAGGGGGGAAAGGTGCATGTGGTTTCTCTGGTCAAAGCTGATGCTATTAAGTGCAGTGTGTCTACATACGGATGCCTAAGAGTAGGGGCAACAGAGGAAATCTGAGTGGCAACGTCCTCAAGAAGTGGGTGGTACCAGAGCTGTATATAATGACATCTACAAAGTTGGTAGAAGATGATAACTGAGCATGCTGAGAGACCTAGCTACCATTTAAGAAGTACATTTTTTAAAACAGATGTCAGGGAAAGCGTGAGAAAATTTATAGACTGCTAAAATCTCAGCCGTCTGCAAGCAGTAACAGTCTGAACAGATCATGTAGGGATAACGTGTAGCCCTTCATCTGTTGCTTGGCTGCAACAGTCCAGACAACATAGACAGAATTGCTAAAATGCTGTTAATTTTTTTAAAAAAATATCCTTTATTTTAGATGTGTGTTGGAGACCAAGCTTAACTCTTTCAGGATTTAGAAACAGGTGATAAAGTAAGGGTGCTTTAAGGTTAATAGCTGTTTACCAAGAGTATTTTCCTCTTCAGCTCTTTCCAGATAAAACAGCTTTTCCTTCTTCATTTGTTTTTCTTTAAGAAATTGCCATATGGACTAAAAATAAGTAGGGTGCCTTTTCCTGCTCATCTCTCATGCTGGAATTGGCGGCTTTACTTTCATCCCTCCACAAGCATAGTGTACACATTAGGCTCCACCATAAGCAGCTAGGACAAGAAGAGGGTGCCTGCATGTCAGACTGTAGGTAAGGACTCACTTCTTACCCTTTAACCTGAGTTGTTTTCTCTTCCTGTATGTGATAGTTCTTTCCACTTTAATAAGGTTATTTCCCAGTGCTTCTCAAACTCTGGCCTTCCATATGTTTTTTCTTCAGTTCTCTTCTGAGAGCTATAGATCACACCATCAAAAGTTAGGAATTCTGGAAATTCAAGTTCAGCTCACCAGGAGGGACCATATAGTGAACAGCACTGGACTAGGAAATAAAATTTAGAATGCAAGAATCCTAAAACAAACCCTATTCCAGTACTCAATATTTAATAGGCTTAATTCCATTTTTCCCCTGTTTGCACTTAGAGAAGTAGAAACTGGCCACCAGACTCCTCCAGGCAAGCATTCAGCCTGTGCCTGTTACTACAACACTTGGTAGTTCTGCACTCACCGTCAGACAGCCTTCCCACCTGTGATACTTCTTGGTGGGTAGAAACATGGGACTCTTCATCTGGGCATGGAGAGGTTAGCTGCTCAGCTTGAATTGCTTGCTCTAACTGAAGCTAAAATAGTAAGACACTGTGGGATGTCAGCAGTATGCTCTTAACATCCAGTCCTGGTCTGCCAAATACTTATTTTGTATCTGTGCAGTTACATAATACCGGCCCGGTCTTAGATCTGTACAGTATGTGCTTTGGTACAATGCTTCTTTTTTTGAAGCCGAGGGGTTGTCATCTCCAAAGGGCCACTCTGTCACTTTTTTCCTCAACAGCCGAACCACATTCATATTTCCATACAAGTGTGTGGCCACGTGATCTCTGTTTCTAAGTGAATGAGAGATTCCGTGCAATGGCATCCCCATGGCTCTGTATCAATGCTGATCTAAGAATGAGAAGTCGGTGCAAAAGTTACACAGTAATGTACCTAAGCAGAGCCACATACCAGACTGTTAAATTACTCATGTTTATTTTATAACAGACCTTCAGCCAGTACAGTACAAAACTTAACAGTAGTATAATCTCCATTACACAAATATGTACTTACAATATATTACAGATACAAAAAAGCTTTTGCAGTAAGAGGTTTTTATCTTTTATTTAAAAGCAAGTTTAATCCCACCAAAAAAAGAGAGGGAGAAAAGAGCGTGACACCAGCAAACCCAATAACAATATACAAATGAAAGCTTGTTAGAAAGAGAAGAATATTGTAGCGGGTTGGGGATATTGCACATCTTTTTGTTCTTCATACATCTGGTTAAAAAATATATATATTTACACAAGTTAAAGAGACCTGGAGTTTTACAAAATTCCTACTTTTGTTTTTTAGGCTCTTCATACAGGTAAAAGCAAAAATAAGAGGAATACTGGTTTCCCCCCCACAGAAACTTCAGACTTTGATTCTAAAAACAACCCTTTTTCATTTCACAAAAGGGGAAGGCAGGAGGTAAGATGTGAAGTCCAAAACAGGATTCTTGTTCCCTGATTCCCATCAAAGAAGCAGGGCTAAGAGAGATTCGTACCATTCCACAGTGCAGTAAACACAGTTCAATAATGATGTTTGGGATATCTTTAGTTAGCTCTAAAACTATCCAATATTTCCCACCAAAAAACAAATAAAAACCAAAGTATTTCTGCAAAGAGCAGTTTGATTCCCATTCAAAACAGGAAGCAGGAAAATCTGAATGTGGGCTTTCTAAGGAGGCACAAAGGGACAGCTTAAAAGAAAAAAAAACTCCCCAATAAAAATGACACATCGGGTGCTTTAATTTATCAGCATGGCTATTAACTTAAGCCAAACACCCAAGGGCCATCTTTGGCTTTCAAGAAGCCAGTATCTAGCCATGAAAGCTGATTCTCCTATTAAATATGTGTGTATATGTTAAGATTCATACTTCTATCAGGATTTTTGAAAGAATGAAATGAAACAAAGAAAACCTAACGTGTACTTCCTTTCCAAGGAAAATTACATATGCCTGTACTTCTTGACAAATATACTAAGATGCAAATCACATCTTAACAGAAATTTTAGTCTCTGCATTGGAAAAAATGGGGTATCTTCCCAGAATTGTGCCTGGAAAGAACTCTGTGTGTAATGTTGAAAAAAATCAGGGCATTAAGAATCACTTTCCAGAATTCAGAAGTAAACATAAGATTATCTTGTCAAAACTGAAGTCCATGTTCTTGTTGTCACTCTCTTACACACAAGCTCAATACAGTATTTCTTTTATCTAGTCCCTGTCTTCCTCTATAGAGCTGGTTTGCTAAATGGAAGTAAAGCTTCATGTTGCTTTCTGCTTAAACAGTTGGCTACACCATTTGAATTATTTTTTGCTAGACCTGACAAGGACCTAAACATCTTTCCTATGCAAGACTGGACAATACGGGGCTTTGGAGGACTTAGAACTACTACTTTTTGTTTTGCTTTGGTATTATGGAGAAAATAAAAAGACTACTACTTAAATACAGTACATGGGTTTTACCCATGAAGGAGAGCCTTAAAAGGTACAGTATAATCTTGCCTGTGTGCTACAACCAGGGGCCCAAAAGCCTCATGTACCTTTAGGAAAGTGCTGTTTATCAGCTCCTGCAGCGGTATAAATTCTACCAACAAAACAAGTGACAACGTCATACTCTGTCAAGGCCTAGATCCCGAAAAAAACATGCACACAGTTGAGTGAAGGTACTGCTTTCCTCATTTACTAGAATAAATATAGGCTGCCTACTGTAGATCTCATTTATTGTAGTAAATACTGTACAGGCTGCCTAGATCTGAGATTGAATTCCACAGTAAAGCTGGATGCTCACGATAAATGTTCTAAATCCTTCTTTCAATGCACTCATAGAAAAATATTATGTTGTCCAAAAAATCATTTAATTTTCCAAGGGAAATTTCTATAATCAAGATTTGAGGAGACTCTAAAATCCTGGTCCATTAAGGCTGTCCCTGGAAAAAACTATGTTGATAACTCATTCTGCATTCACTTGTTTACTTATGTACACTTACAGAAGGGGAAAAACCTCTCATTAAGCAAGCAGCAAATGTTTTAATTTGGAAATCAATCTTGAGAGTTATATTACACACTATAAATGTGCATGAATTTTCCACTATCTTTTTCAAGTCTTCAGAGAAAATTTCCCAAGAACCCAACTTTAGAAATAAACTACAAGCAGCTTTTGTGGTACACTCTCTCAGATTTCTGAGGTTAAAAACAGAACACATTAAGCTCATTTGTTCAGCATAGTTATTATCAAGCTACTTGCGTTAATCTGACCTAAACCTTTCATGTTTGGACAGTCAGGAGTGGAGAAATCCTAAACTTTAGAGCAGTATGAAATCAAAATGTTCAAAAACAGGAAGTCTAAGAGTTAGTTCACTCAACTTTTTTTCAGTCACAGGCAAGTCCTAACAACTACTTTCAGGCCAGAACTGTTACCTGTAGAGACAACAGGGAGCAGACTAATTCACAAAACATGCTTAAATGAGTATCCAAATCTTGGGAGTTATTGTAAGGAAACCTGTTATCATGTGAATGGCGTCTTCAGATTAACAATCACAAAAAGTGCTAAATACTTTAAATGTATATCAACAGGAGATATGAGTACTTTTTAAAAAAAGCAAAATCCTTTACCATAGGGCTGATGGAATTTCGGGAAGTCAGATGTACAATCCCCTAGGGGATGGGAAATCCAAGTCCAAGGACCATTAGACTTTTAAGTCATTTTAGCAATTTGGCAAAGTTTCCCAACATGATTCCTTTGTATTGCACAATGGTAACCAGAATGACAAGAGTGGCAAGAGACCCATCGGCTGAAATTACAATGTATACCGCTAGGACCAGTGGAAAAATGCTTTCAGAGCCAGTAACATCTCATTCATATACTGAACCTTAAGTGAGAGAACAGAAGAGGAAACATGGTTTTGTACCAGAAGAATTAAGAGCTTTTAAGAAGTGTTGGCAGGATAGTGGAGTGCTACTATTTAAAGAAATATTTACCCCACCGCACCTCTCTGAATTACTTCCCCAAGATACCCCACCTGACCGGGCCTTTCCAGTTCAGCAAGTCTGTCTGGCCTTTTAAAAAAAAGGAAGAAGCTGAGAAAATTCAATATTTCACATCTCAAAAAGCAGTAAAGAGGGGAGAGGGTAACAAACAAAATGCTGCAACTTGAGGTTTTTTTTAGTAGAAAAAGATCAGCCTTTGGTTTATCCCACAAGGAAGCAGTTTGCTGGGCTGCTGTTGAGGAAGTTATTTTTATGCATGATGGGCATTTACTTAAAAGCATGGGTCGTCTCCTGCGCATTGCATCCTTTGCCCAGCTAATTGTAGAGGCAGTTTCAGCCTTGCACCCATTGCCTTTCTATTCAGAAAGGAGGTTCTAGCAGGTGGAGAGGCTGAGATGAAGGACCACGTCTTGGGCAAAGGGAAATTACTAAGTTACCCTGCCTGGGCTCATAAGCTTTCTATAGTGAGGTGACTGTACTCCTAAAAGCAAGTGTCAAGAGGCCTCCTACTTTGGCAGGAATGGCTGCCTGACACTGACAAGAGGAGTTACAACCTTCTCCCACAGATAACAGCCTCCCCTAAGCCAAGCTACAAAACGGAGGTTTCAGCCCTTCATAGCGATCGAAGCTTTAAGACACTACATACAGTTCACACAGCAAGGACTTTCTGCAGGACCCTCATTACAGAAAACCATATGGCTCTCTCTGGCACCACTGGCCACGTACCTATCAAGAAACGGAGGGAATCTGGTCACTGTGTAGCTAGCTACCCTGGGCAAAGGGGGTTTGCTGGCAGTTGTTCTAACAATTTTCATTTGATTCCATGGCAGCCAGTCAGCCTAAAAGCAATGCATGCCTCTCTGACCTAAGGCAGAGCTCTCTTCCAAGGAGAGACAAGTTGGCCTGGCAATACTTATGTCTCCTTCCTTTTGGATGAGCTGTGTGTGCTTTTCCACAGATATGCAACCTTCCAGTACATGGCAGCTGCCCGATCTTGCTGATGGGTCCAAAAAGTGCATGCTTCCTCTGAGCACAGATCTATAAGGCTAATGACTGATCTGTGCAAATCAAGGCAGCCACCCACTCCTGGGGAAGCTAAATACTCAAACCCCAAGTTGCTCAGTGGTAAACTGATTGCTGGGAAACAGACTGGAGAGGCAGACGTTAGGCACTGGAACAAAAAGAGAAAATGGCAGGGCTTGAACCCCTTGCCTCTAGGAGTTTCAAGAGAAGTTGCTAAGCTGACTCCACGTAGGTGCTCAGTAACATCTTTTCTGCCTCCTACAGAGAATCCCATGACAATGTCCCCTATGAACCTATTCTAGCCACTAGGGTCATAATTATCGATTCACCCTAATGGAAGGTGTATGCTCTTGAAGAGAGAAGTCGGTGGCCTATGCCAACCTAAGGGTTGAGGGTTTATACCTTCTAAAGCCTCCAGCCACGATGGCTCTTTAACAGCTAACAGAAGGAAGCTCAGAGAAGTGAGCTCAGGCAACCCTTCCAGAGAAACGATCAGGCCAACCAACAAGGACGTCAAACATGCCCTTGCAAGAGAACATCCTGGATTTTTAGCTCCTGGGAAGTGGAACATACCCTTAAGCACACAATGCTAAGGTTCCTTCATTGCATTGCTTCTTGGAAACCGTGTTCGCTTTCCTTATGCTAATTCTCAGTTGAGTCTGTCAAAGGCAGCACAGTGGAAAACTTCATGTACAAAGTGCTCACCACCTTCCTTCAAACAGATGGCGCTGCAATCCCTTCATCTTTGCCACCTTCTGGGCTCCCAGAAAATAGCATATGTCAGTTCAAAAGCCATGGTAAGCAGAAGCACAGAGGTATTGAGTTCTGAGGGACCACAGAATTCCTAATAGGACACCATTCTATGCTCCATTTCACAGATACCCATAAAAGAGGGCATATGCAGGTCATCCTGACATCTCCATCTCAGTTTGTAACACGAGTCGTGGCTTTCCTAGCCCCCTGAACGGGGGAAGTTCTATAATATTTTAGCACCTGATCTGAGGTTCTTAATATCTAACATGGTGAACTGACAGAGATACTTGAACTGAAACCAAAAGAAGCCCAAAGAAACTTTCAATGGAGAGGAGGAAAAGATTTAACTTCAAAAGACGTAAGTACCAGTGGCTTATCTGTTCCTCAATGGAGAATGTCCCTGGCAAAATGACTGAGAACAGAAGGCTTACCAAAATAATAATTTAAAAAAAAATGAGAGAGAAGGAAAGATCAATAAATAACTACAAGTAGGAGAGGAAAGCAAAGACGAATTTGATAACCAACAACATTTAAATAACATAGCACAGAAAAAGGCAAAAATGTTATGAGCTCCTCCCCGTCTCAAGTGTGTTAGATTTTGTTTTTAAGTTAGGTTTTTTTAAAATATTTCTCTCTTTTTTTTTTTTAGCCAAAGTCAGTGCAAACGAGTACAAAAGAAATGAACAGTTTCATGCCCAACGAGAATGGAGCACTAGAGACAGGGAGGGGTGAGGGGACATAGTTGAGGATTAGCCGATTTTATGCTCCCCTCGCACTATGTGGGAAGAGAACTCGTACCGGTCTTGGCTGTGATAGCCACAGATGTTGCATTCAAAAGGGTCTCTGAAGCCATGACAGCCCATATGGATGGTGAACATAACATGGTCCAGGAATAAGATCCGGCAGTGCTCGCATTTGAAGGCTTTTACCTGTTCCCCTTCGTCATTCACCACACGTAGGGCTTCTTTGGCTGAGCTGGGAGTTGACCGAGTAGTGGTAGGGATGATGCCCTCTTGCAGTTTCGGGTCCTCTTTGGCGTAGGCCGGACTCTGCCGGCTGCTGGTGCAGTTCCCAATGCTGGGCAGCAGCGGCTGCTGGGAGCCTCTCTCCTCATGGATGCTCTCAGTGTCTGTGGAATCCTGGCAACCGTTGCTAGGCGATACCATGCTCGGCTCCCGCGATGCCCGATACACAATCTGCGTCCCGTCAGGAAGATCTTCATGGCCTTCAGCAGCTTCCCGGCTTCCTGCGATTTCTAGCCTGCCTGGGAGGGGCTGGATTTGAGTGTAGACGCTGCTGATGACAGGCGTGATCTCAGAGATGCAGTTTGTGGGTGGGAGTCTGAGGGGGCGCAAGTGTTCTGCCCCTACAAAGGACAGGGAGCTGCCAAAGCTAGTGTCTATGGGATGATGTGCAGCCACCATCTCCACGTCCTTCTCAAAGCCAGAGTTGACATCAAATGCCATGTCGGAGAGGCCAAAGCGCATCTGCTTCTCTCCTAAAGCAGTAGATCAAGGTATCAAAATACAAATATTTCCTTTAGCAGTCAGCTAATGAACTTACTAAGAGTGCAAAACAAAATGTACATGAGAGTGTGGTGTTTGGAAAAGAACTCTACAAAGATTATGCAGGAAGCAGTAATAATCAGCAGGACTCAGTTCTGAGTACTATACTGGATGCAAAAATGCTTGCTGAAGAGGGGAAAAGTTTACTTAACATAAAGTCATGTTATAGAAACTATTTACAGTGGTGCCTCGCTTGACGAGGTTAATCCATTTCAGCAAAATCGCTGTAGAACGAAATCGTCGTCAAGCGAAAGTAAAAATCTCATTGAAATGCACTGAAAACCGGTTCAATGTGTTCCAATGGGCGAAATACCTCAGCGTCCAGCGAAGATTCTCCATAGGGCGGCCATTTCCCGGTGCCTGTAATGCAAGGGATCTGTCCTAAAACACAGCAGGGAGCCATTTTGCACAGTGGGCGGCCATTTTGAAGACCTGAGATCAGCTGTAAAGATCGTCGTTAAGCGAAAAATCGGTTCCCGAAGCACTGAACCGATCATCGTAAAGCGGTTTTTCCCTATTAAAACATTGTTTTGCGATCACAAAAGTGATCGCAAAAACTTCATTGTAAAGCAATTTCCTCATCTAACGAGGTAATCGTCAAGCGGGGCACCACTGTATAAGAATATTGAAACTTTGGATAGTAATTAGAAATCTTGGAGCAGATCCAATTGAACACAAGCTAGAGCTCATTGGAAAGCCTGCTCCCGTGGCACCACTGCATCTGCACAGAGCCCTCCAGTCGGGCCATTTTAGGCGGCCAAGGACCTGTTGCACAGATGGCCACAAGAGAAGGACAATGACCCAATTGATGGCCTGCTGTGAAGAGTGTGCATGGCACTCAGGATCCATTCTTAGATGCTGTAGTTCAGTGATCCTCAACCCTGGGCCTCCAGATGTTCTTGGACTACATCTCCCAGAAGCCTTCACCACCACCTCTGCTGGCTAGGATTTCTGTGAGTTGAAGTCCAAGAACATCTGGAGGCCCAAGATTGGGGACCACTGCTGTAGTTGACACAGCTCCTGTTGATGTCACTTTGGCCCCTGCTTCTCTTGTTATAATGGATACATTTCATTTGGTGCAGTCAGAGGATGTGGACAGGCTCTTTGGAGAAGGGAAAATCACCATATGTGTGCTGGACCCTTGCCCTTCCTGGCTTATAAAAGTAGCCAAATTGGGACTGGCTGAGTGGGTTAATGGAGTGGTGAATATCTCCTTGCAACAAGGCAGGGTGCCAGCATATCTAAAGGAGGCGGCAGTAAGAACTTTGTTTAAAAAAGCCCTGCTTGAATGCCACTCTATTGGATGATTATTGGCCAGTATCCAATATTCCATTTTCAGGCAAGGTTTTGGAATGTGTGGTCGCATCCCAGCTCCAGAAGTTCCTGAATGATGCAGATTATCTAGGCCTGGTTATGAAATAGAGATGGCTTTGGTCATCTTGGTGGATGACCTACACCTGGAACTGGACAAGTGGAGAGAGTCCCTGTTGTTTCTGATGGACCTCTCAGCAGCTTTTGATACCATCAACCATGATATCCTTTTGGGACACTTTATTGGGATGGGTCTTGGAGGTGGTGTCTTACAGTGGTTTCAGTCCTTTCTGGACTCAGAGGGTAGCGTTGGAGGAATCCTGTTTGACACCATAGCTACTGGTCAAACGGGCTCAGTCCTGTTTCCCATTCAGTATCTACATGAGGTTGTCTGGAGTTTTAGGATTCAGTGCCATCAGTATGCTGATGACAAACAACTTTATCTGTCCTTCCCATCTCATTCCAAGGAAGACGTTCTGCACCTAGACCAGTGCCTGTTGTCAGTAATGGACTGGAGGGCTAGCAAACTGAAACTTTATCCAGATGAGACAGAGGTGCCCCTGGTCAGTCATGAGGCAAATCAGGGACAGGGATCCAGACTGTATTGGGTGGGGTTACACTCCTCCTGAAAAGTCAGATTCACAGCTTGGGTGTGCTCCTGGACTCAACCCTGAGCTTGGATGCACACGTTTCAGTGTTGGCCAGAAATGTCTTTGCACCGTTAAAGCTGGTACACCCAGCTGTGCCATTGCTTGAGAAGTCTGATGTGGCCACAGTTATGCATGCCTTAGTTGCTTAGTGTGTGCCTTACTGCAACACACTCAACATGAGGCTGTCTTTGAAGAGTGTTCAGAAACTTCACCTTGTTCAAAATACGGCAGCTAGACTCTGACTGGTGCTGGTTACAGAGGATATATAACTCCCACACTACAACAGCTTCATTGCCTGCCAGTCAGTTTCCAGGGTCAATTCAACCTTAGAACACCTGCTGGCTATTCCCTATAAAGCCCTATACAGCTTAGCTTGGGTTCAGGCTATTTGAAGGATCATATCACCCTGTATGAGCCCACTGGGGTTTAAAGATATTCTGGGAAGGTCCTTCTTTTGGTTCCACCACCTCAAGTTCATTTGGGGGGGGGCACACAAGAGAAAGCCTTTTTAGTGGCTGCTCCCAGGCATTGGGACACACTGCCCTGAGAAACCAGACTGGTCCCCTCCCTCTGGTCCTTCTGTCATCAGACAAAGCCTTTCTTTTAAAGACACACTTTTAAGGAATAAATGGGAGTTTAGCAAATGCTCAATTTTTGAACTTCAGATATTTTAAAATATTTTCCACATTGTTTTTAATCAGAACCAATGTTTATAGTCATGGCCAAAAATATTGGCACCCTTAACTTAATATTTGGTAGCACCCCTTTTGGAAAAAATAACTGAAATCAGTCGCTTCTTGTAACCATGAATGAGTTTCTTACACCTTTCTACTGGAATTCTGGACCACTCTTCTTTTGCAAAACTGCTCCAGGGCCTTCAGATTTGAAGGATACCTTCTCCCAACTGCTGTTTTGAGATCTCTCCACAGGTTTTATATGGGATTCAGATCTGGACTCACTGCTGACCATTTCAGAACTCTCCAGTGCTTTGTTTGTAACCATTTCTGAGTGCTTTGTGAAGTGTGTTTTGAGTCATTGTTCTGCTGGAAGACCCATGACCTCTGGTGGAGATGAAACTTTCTGACACTGTGCCCCAAAATTCTTTGGTAATCATCAGATTTCACGATACCATTCACACAGTCAAGGCATCCAGTGCCAGAAGCAGCAAAGCAACCCCCAAACATCTTTGA